AACATTGCCAAAGATTGCCACATCAAATTTCTCGATCGCCTATTTCTACATGTACTAGATTTGGCTTGAGAATGATTGCAACATAAAAAAATAGAAAGCAACAAATTTCACTGGAGACAGCTTCAAAGATTGCCACATTAAATATTAAGAAGGCGTATCTCTAAATATACCAGATTTAACCACAGTTATTGCCAAAGATAGCCACATGGAATATCTAGAACGCCTTTCTCTGTAGGCACAAGGTTTGACTGGAGACATGGTCAAAGATTGCCACATGAAATACCTGGAGCGTCAATGTCCATATGTACCACATTTCAGTGACGACACTTCCAAATATTGCCACATGAAATATCTAGATCGCCTATTTCTACATGTATTAGATTTGGCTGGTGATATTGTCAATGATTACAACATAAAATATCTAGAATGCATGTTTCTAAAAGAAACACATTTGACTTGAGACATTGTCAAGAAGGCGTATCTCTTAATTTAACCAGGAGTTATTGCCAACGATTGCCACATGTTATATCTTAAACTCAGGTAGCATATTAGGCTGGATACATTCCCTAAGACACATAAAACATAAAGAACGCATATCTTTACAAATACTAGATTTGGCTTGAGACATTATCATAGATTACTCATGAAATATAGAGAACGTCTATCCCTACAGTCACCAGATATGGCTGCAGAGATTGTCAAAGATTGCCATATGAAATATTTAGAACTATTATCTCTACAGGTACCAGATTTGACAAGAGAAATTGTCAAAGATTGCCATATTAAATATCAAGAACGCATATCTCTACATATTCCAGATTTCGATGGAGATATATAAAAGATTGCCGCATGAAATATCTAGAACCTTGCCTCAAAAGGTGCCTTATTTACCTGAAAACATTGTCAAATATTACCACATGAAATATCTAGAACGCCTATATCTAAAGGCGCCAGGTTTGCCTGGAGGCATAGTCTAACATTGCCACATAAAACATCAAGAATACATATCTGTACATGTATCAGATTTGGCTGCAGATATTTTCAAAGATTGCCAAATAAAGTATCTAAAATTTCTATATTTTCAGGCACTGAGACTGGAGACTTTGTAAAAGATTGCCACATATTACATCAAGAACGCATATCTCTACATGTACCAGATTTGGCATGAGATAATCGTGGATTGCTCATGAAATATATAGAACGTCTATATCAACAGGTACTGTTGATTGCGCTGGAGATATTGTCAAAGTTTGCCACATGAAACATTTAGAACGTCTATTTCTTTGGGCACCAGATTTGACTGGATACATTGTCAAAGAATGCCACATGAAATGTCTAAAACGCCTGTCTCAAAAGGTTAGCCAATTTCCACTGAATCATGGGCAATAACTCTGTCAATACTGACTATTTTATTCATTTGTAAAATATGATATTACAATATGCTGGTAAACAATTGTATTATTCGTAATGAAAACATGATAATTTAAAGATAAATTTATAGGTTATTTCAGTCTTATTCATGAACATACAAGAAATACATTTACATATCAATATTCAACATTAAAATGTAAAAGTACTTGGTCAATCTATTACAAATTTATAGGTGACGTATTTTATTTTACAAATCAATAAACCTTTCTAACCTCTTACATCTACCTATCTATACACATTCATAGTCTATTCTTTCTTTCTTTAGCACTTTATTTCATCTTTTTAGCACTAACAACACAATCTTCTTTTGTACATTACAATGTAATAACGTGTAAGCCGGCAATAAATGTGCCTTTAAACATGAAAAAGTATTTTGCGACACAAACTTACAATACTGCATCTATATTATGTTATATAGTGACGGAAATACCAGAACATATGTTCCAAACAGATCGACGAAAATATATGTGTCTTGCACATTTTACGTACAAACTAAATTTGAAAATGATTGATGAAAACCTGTATGAGTAGTTGGTGACACAAACTTACACAGCAGTTTCATTATGTTATATGGTAACGGAAATGGCGTAACGTAAATTACAAAACAGAGTGAAAATAAATGAGTCTTGCACATCTTCATCCCATTTGCAAGACATATTCCAAATCTGAATATGTTTGCTCAAAAACTGTGGGAGAAGTTTGTGACATAAACTTGTAGCGAAAATGTATTATGTTGTTCGATAACAAAAAAGACAGTAACGTAATTACAAATTAAGCAGTAAATATATGGCCTGCACACCTTCAACCCACCTGAAAGACATATACTAAATTTTAAAATGTTTGCTAGAGAACTGTAGGAGTAGTTCGCCTCAAATCTTACTTAGTCTGTGCCTATATTACGTTATTTTAGCAACGTGAATAATGTAATGTTAGTTATAAACAGTGTAATGATAAGTGTGACTTGCTCATATTTAACCATGATCTACAAGTCATATACAAAATTTGAAAATGTTTCCTCAAAAATGTGTGTTCGTGACTCGTGACACAAACGGAAGACGTCCGGCCAGATTGGAATAAGGGGCCATTTCTATTGTTTAATAGATGGCAAAGAGCCACTTATTCGTTTGTTACGGAATGGACTTTTGTTCTTTTGTGTTCTGTTTACAGTTAAGTCATCCCCCACCTCTTTTCGGTAGCCCGGAAGGACGGAGGGTAAACTTATAGTCACCTCTGGTAAAACCATTTATATAAAAATGAACTTTTATTTGTTTGCAAATTAACCAACGAACTTTAAAAATCCCTGTTCATTTATGTTTTGGAATTAACCGAATTCACAAATGATTTTATTTTCAAAACTTAATTAATCATTATCATTATAACAATATATAGATTTAAAAAATAATTTAGATGCCCGAATGAAAAAAATCCAACTGTTTTTAAATATCAATTTCTATGCTTATAACACAATTTACGCAAGCACAATGCACGTTCAAACACAAATGAATACCAGTTTATATGAGAGAATAACGCTATAAAACTATCTGATAATTTAGTGGTAGCACACCTTCACAACGATCCCTTCACCAAGATGACAACGATTGCAAAAAGTGACAACCCATTTTTTACCGGTGAAGACACAGCACAGTGTTGCCGTTACACCGTTAACACGTGTTTTTTTCCCGCCATAATTTCGAAGGGCGAAGTTTAGTACTAAATTTCGCATGTATTAAATTTCGCTTGTCTCTCATGCGATAATTAGCGCCCTTCAAGGCGATAATTATCGCGTGAGAAACACACAACATACGAAAATTAAGACGATAATTATCGAGGCGAAATTGTTAAATTTCGCTAGTATAAGTGTTTCTGGTCTTTTTAAAGGGCGATAATTATCGCGTGAGAGACTAGCGAAATTTAAGACATGCGAAATTTAATACTAAATTTCGCCCTTTAGAGGCGATAATTATCGCGTGTTACTAGCGAAATAATGTGGACGAAATAGGATTCCGTACTTTTGAACAAAAATGAAGTGACGTTAACAACGCTTATCGTTCCTCTGCAGACCGTGTAATAAGATTATTTATACCGAGGGTCTAGAAACAAAAATATTGTTTATGTACAGAGTCGATGGTAACTGTAAAAGAGTGGAGAGCGTTAAGTAGAGGTAAATAGAATATTCCAATCAGTTATGGGCCTCTTTTTCTTTTGGGGTGGGGTGTAAATTTGGAGAAGTAACTGGAAATTTGTACAGACTCAATCAAACCGAGTCTGCAATTTCTTGTAATTTTGCTGCTTTTAATGCTTCCGAGGGATCACTTCTTTCCAGATATTCATACATCACAACAACATGTGGCAGCCGTAAAACTTCAGTTTTGTTATATTTTTCTGGTCCTTCGGGATAATTAAGTCCAGCATTTTTAAGTGTTGAGAATTGAGTACCACTTAAGCTGGTGCTAGGTGGCGTTAGGGATGTTGCTCAATCAAACCGAGTTTGCAATTTCCATATAATTTTGCTGCTTTTAATACTTTCGAGGGATCACTTTTTCCAGATATTGATTATTTTTCCATTCCGGGGGCTTCTATACGACTAATTTTGTAAAAAAAAAATCAAAAAGAAAATCCTCAATTTGCCAAATTATTAATAAGTAAGCTACTGTTGCAGTTTCATTGTATATAACTAATTTTTGTGAGTGCTTTTCATCTTAAATCCAAGAATGAGTAGCCCAAAGCTAGGTAGACGGTAACTCTCTCAAAGTAAGCGCGCAATAAAAACACTCGCAAGTAAACTAGAATAAATATTTGCTTACGGTATGCTCGCCAGATAAACATTAAAGAAGAAAAGTATAAACAAATTGTTGATCTTGACATAGATAAGTCTTTGCTGGAAGATGTTACGATTAGCAGTGGTTTTCCCCCGTGTTTGAAATGAGCTTCTGTTTGCTTTTCCCCCCAACGTTAAATGATTACTTGGAATTAAGCAGTTTAAGCCTCCAGCAGATTCTTGCTAAATTCAATGAAAGTTTTGAAAATGTATTTAAAAGTAAAATATTGTGATGTGAGCAAATGAAGTTATTTACACATTGCAAACGACACTTACAATCCATGTAAATTATAAATAAGAGGTCAGTACATCTGTATATGGAAAGATAACAGCTCTGATTGCGTTCGTCACGCAGTATAGAAATTTGGTTATAAATACTGCAAAATTAGACATTAATCGGACAGGTAAATTATTACTCGAATTTTAAATCTTTTTACATTTTAAGTGTAAGTTTAATTTTCTTAAAACATTTTGGCTCATCTGAAGGCATGCAACTTTAACAATGGCAATAATAATGCCGCTATGTGAGAGTAAAACGGTGAACCCTTTGAGACAGTTATTCCGTAATATCAATTTTACAGAATCTTTGATTTTTTCAATATTTTAATTTTGAAGTATTGTTAATTTCATCATATATGTGGATCAATGATCACGTCATACTCGAAATAATGTATACTGATCCAAGTTAAATTGATTTTTTTTTCTAAATCATCGTTGGACATTGACTAGAAATAAAAAATAAAGTACTCACGTAAATGGATTCGATCCCCAGCCAGCTATTGACGTGAAAATCCTTGGTCCCAGGTCTCTTGCCGGGTTGATAGCATAGCCACAGTTGAGACCAAATGTCATGCCTATGACAACAACAACAAGCCCAATGCTGAGAGCGGACACACCTTTTGTCGGCTGCATGTTCCTGGGGTCAGTTATTGCCAGAATACATATCAGCAATAAAGCTGTCCCGAAAATCTGTAAAAGAAATGAAGATATTGTACATTTATTGGCATTAAATCAATAAAATACAAGCATTTGTTTTGATGGGAAATTCGTCTGAGGTTTTTGCGTTAGCAGAGTTGCATAATTGTTTATTGCATTTAATAAAACTTTTGAAAATTTTGGTCTAGAATTCTTTGGACACACATATCTTTAGCAATTATATTTCCACTTCAAAGATTTTATATTATTATATGTGTAGTTTGCCATTTTAAAAATGCACATTACATGTATATATTAAACACACGCAAAGTATTTTGAAAACATTACTTGGTCGCCAAAACAGTTCCATGTCGAAACATACACTTGTGGATAGGTTGACCAAATACCCGCTGTCCCAAGACTTCCGTCAACTTGACGGTTTCCGCCGTCAATATTATTCAAAGCGTCTGCAAAAGAAAATTATCGTTATATAAATGTGTCTATACATGTATATGATATGTAAAAAGGGCTTAACGAATTTTTTTACCGTGATTCAATATAACCTTTAAAACAGGACACATGTACAATGCAACAATACTTTTGTAGTATCGATTCAACCTTCAGATCTTTATCGCACTTATCGATATTGTACCGATATTATCACGATATTGCAAGAATCTAGATCAAATTCATTCTTTTAATAGTCGGCAGCTGATTCTACTAATTCGACCAGTACAAACCAAGATCAGCAAGCACGCCCGTATCGTCTGCTCATAGAATGCACTGCTATTCAGCCAGTACAAATTTTGAAAATTTCCCTTAGAATAATGAATGGTTCCGTCCAGATTCAAAGATGGACGAGTCCATTTAATATATTTAATTTGGTAAGGATTAAAAATTGTGAGCCGGACTGTAAACCTATACCATGTCAGTAAAATTAAAGTGCATTTTCTAAAATTTATGATAATTTAAATGATACATCTTGAGAACAAAATGTGTGGGTTTTTTTTAACAATTTATTTATGATCATTCATTATAATGTAACTGAATGGTAACTTATTGTAATTCAGCCGTTTAAAATTAAATTGTTTAAACACAAAAACAGAGATTGTTTGTTAAAGGGACTCCGCTGAGGTTTAAGAATCTAAAACATAAAATTTGAATTTCATACATACATGAGCTGGGGGACTTAAAACAGAAAAATGTGCACAGAGAGTTAGCAATATACTTAGACATAAATTGAAAAAAAACCCGTATATTTGTGCTTTTCTAAGCCCGATTTGAGTGCAAAGCGTCCCAACGCTTTTCCGTTTTTTAACAGTTTTTGAATAATTATACTGGAAAAACGGAATGAGCGAATGATCTGAATTTTTGCACAAAGGTTATTGGTCTAGACCTACATGAAATGGAATATTTATTTCGAAACAAAATTTACAAAAAAACCTCAGTGGATTTCCTTTAACTTACGACCCTTTAAAGCAGAGGGACTCTGGTTATTTACTCTGGTGACAGGAAAGTGGCCTGGAAAGTTTGATCTGTAGAGAATGGTATTTCAAACATCAAGGGTTCGAGTCCCATACAGGCTTCAAATTTCCGTAGTAAACGCCGTTATTTGTGTACATATCAATCTCATGGCCAAATGGTATACGATTTTAACTCAGTTAAGATTAATGAAATATTTACCGTGATACACCAGAAAGACACACGCCGATGCTACAAATGCTCCCACATACTGTGATAGCATGTACGGAACTACTTTCTTCCAGGAAATCCTTCCGAGAAAAGCCTGGGCAACCGTGACGGCAGGGTTCAGGTGAGCCCCGGAAACTCCTCCTGCCACATAGATGCCGAGCATTACTCCTATACCCCATGACCAATGTATAGATAAAGCCGACCCCAGTTCACCTTTGCTCAGCACCTTCTGGGCAACCGAGCCATCACCAAAAACCTATAAATATATTACTTTATTCAATATGTATAGTTTAAACATTTTTTATCTCAGCTCGATCGTGATATATCTTCTTGCACATTACCGGTGTGTTAACTACTTCTGATTCCACTTTCTGAAACACTGGTTTCATATGAAGACACATGGTCCTGTATAGTTCGAACCCAACCAGTGAAGAGACAAACACCTTAACAACTAGCTAGGTCGTCGCTTGGGATACTAAGTAGATTCTGACATTATAAAGAATAATAGGTTTATTTATTTCATCATCATCACACCACCACCACCACTATCTTCATCCTTATTATCATTATCATCATCATAACCATCATCATTAATCATCATCATTAATCATCATTATCATCATCATAACCATCATCATTAATCATCATTATCATTTATTATTATTATTATTATTATTATTATTATTATTATTATTATTATTATTATTATTATTATTATTATCTGGGACATATAAATATTATGTTCTAGTTATTTTTCGTACAGGAAATAAACGCCTCGATACACGTGTTTTGTACCTTTAAATCTTTGTTTTCAATTTTTGTGGTGGTTGGATACACGTTTGGGAAGGAATTTAACTTATCAATTATTAAGCTGTCTGAAAACGTAATTTGATATTTATGTTACCTACCAGCATTCCTTTAAAAAAGGAATCTATAACATACATACTGTTTTACGTAACCATATCAGTAAAATACAGTAGTTTCGAGGACGCTCGAAACAAAATTATATTAAAGCAGCAGATTTTCATTTTTTAATGTTTAAAAAAAAACATTGTCAAGTGCACAAAGAGGGTATAATTACCTATTGTAAACGACATTTAAAATCTGAGACAATAACCCAATTATTTGTGATTTTTTTCCGAAAAACATTAATTTCTAAATAAAGCTGTAACAGAAACTAGTTCATAAATTGTTGCTTTTAAGCAAGTTAAACACCATCATTCTGTTAAAAGTTTTGTTTATATTTAAATATGAAACATACAATTTAAGCTTTAAGTGTGTACATGTCCCTTATTATTTATGCACATTTTTAAAAACCATATCACTTTGAACTTATGATATGTTATCTAACATAATTTAAATGACGACTTTATATATTAAAATGTACTTACCAATAAAATAAATGTCCCTAAAAATTCAGCTAAGCATTCACGAGCTAGTGAGTTCTTAATTTGCAACTTCTCCGAAATTTTCCCCATGATTATTCGATCCGCGTGGAATATTTTTCCAATTTCGTGCGTAAAAAGACAGCAAATTATCACCTTTATTAGCCTTTAGTATTTATATCTACTCACTTTATCAAGGTTCATCATCGTCAAACACTCATTAAATGCATTAATATACCATTATTCCTGATATCTCTTTAAGTGTTAAACAAACATTTAAAGAATCAATTTATGCTATTACTTTAACCATTTAACCATTTAAGAATTATCCGCACTGGCTTTCAAAGAGATGCGATAAAACAATATACAAAATTTGAAATTTATCATTTAACGCTTATTTAGATTTCTGGATTTTATGAAAGTTATCTTTTACGTTTAAACGAGTGTCAAACTAGCTGTAAATCCATCGATCATTAGAACTCTATGTACAAACTTGTGTTAAGAGATAGAGTTAATATATGATCACCACTCACAGTGACCCAGTCCGCTGTATGCATGTTTATCTGTTGAGCATATTCAAACGCGGGTAGGCTTATCAGTTTATTTCTAGGTCAAGTTTACTGCATTGTGTATGTTTTAGATACGGGTTGAATATAGGGGGAAGTATTTTAATCTAACAGGCTAACACGTGAATAAATGAATTAACCTTAACCCTAATGAAAATAAAAACACTGGGTTGGTTTGACAGAATTTTCCTTTAATTGGGATTCCATTTCTCTCTATTTTAATAGTGCTCAGGTCACTTGTGATCACTATGGTAAGTTAACAAGGAAAATCGGTTTAGGAGATATTATACCAAAACATGTTTTGAAATCGCCCATATCGTAGGGCCTACCACATGCTTTTATCCTGCTTGTACTATTTACCGAGAATGTAAGACTTATTTGGTCCATCATCATATAATACAGAATTAAATCTAGGATAAAATTGTTATTTACTGTAGAAGCTACAATTTTTTGATAAAAATAACAATTATCCAAAAGAAATTTAAACTACACATAAAAAAAAATTCTTTAAATAACCTCATATGAGTAGCAGCCATAGTTGTTTTTAAGTACTTAATACCAGGAATGACTTTAAAACAATCAATACAAAGTTAAAAACATATGAAAATTATGGTGGCATATTTCTGCCACCAGATAACCTGATAACTAACTAGTTAATTAAGAGGTTAAATTATGGTGGCATATTTCTGCCACCAGATAACCTGATAACTATATAACTAGTTAATTAAGAGGTTAACTTGTTACGTAACTAGTTAACCTGATAACTTACTGGTTAATTAAGAGGTTAACTAGTTACGTAACTAGTTAACCTGATACTAGTCTAACTAGTTAATTAAGAGGTTAACTAGTTACGTAACTAGTTAACCTGATAACCAACTAGTTAGTTATATGGTTATCTGGTGGCAGAAATATGCCACCATAGAAAATGGTCCATTACTGCTAATGATACTAAAGTTCAATTTAATATTGATTACTCGATTATATGATTAATAAAATCTAAAAATCAAGTAGACCCTCAAACGACCAATCAAATTTAGACAGCTATTCGGCTCCATTGTTGACAGTTTCACCGGCAAACTGAAGTTCATTCTTTCTCGAATTCCTCGAGATAGGAAGAAAAGAATATATTTAGCAATGGCTTCTGCAACTTTGTTTTTATTGGTTGCATTACCACTCTTAGTTTTAGCAGCTGACGAAAAGCCAAAAGGCCCAAAAGTAACAGATAAGGTAAAATTCAGTTACTCCACCCACTTTATTTTACACGTGTCACTGAGTGTAAAAACAAGTTTTGAAGTTCTTTTCAAGTAATTGCATGTATGAGTTTGATGACTTTTGATTAGAATTATCAAAGATTTGGTTCAAACTTTGCTTGCAACTGAGCTACGTGTTTAATTTCCCCCCTTACTAGATTCTGCCCTGACTGAAGGCTGACATTTCCTCCCTGACCGCCCCCATTTTGTGAGATATATTCTCCCCCTATTGTGTGGAGAACTCTCTGCACATGTGCAGACTATAAGAATCACTGGCTGCCACTACTGATCATTATATCTAGCTGTAATGTAACTGTTCACCAGTGTTCACAGCGGTACGGAGGCTCTGTCGTTTAGATTTGTTCTTATATTTACAACTTTATTTATAACAACAAAGAATACTAGCCATTCATAAATTGAGAGCAGGAATGATATGATATTTCAAGCACAAGTTCTAAGTCAGAAAATTTCGATAAACTTTGTTAAAATTTTTGAAATACTTCGGTTGTATGTAGATTTAAGTAAATGCTTTAATGTGGAAAAAAAAAAGGAACATATGTTAGAAACTTGCGCAAATCTTGCAGCTTTCATTTTGCAGGAAACATGTATAGCTGTTGGGCTAAGTAATGTTTTGCACAACTTTAGCATTCGTTATATTATTTATTGATAATAGCTTTCAACTTTATTTATAATACTTGCCTTTTTTTCAGGTGTTTTTCGACATTGAGATTGGTGGCAAACCCCAAGGAAGAATTGTTATAGGATTGTTTGGGAAAACTGTGCCCAAAACAGTGAAAAACTTTAGAACTCTTGCAGAAGGAAAAGATGTTAGTATGAATGTAACTTTCTTAAAAAAAATTTAAAGTGATTTTAATCCTCTTGATCTTCTGCTGTGGGTTTGGATATAGTCCAGGACTACAGGAGTTTGAATTCTCTCACTTGAGAAGCCATGTAGCTAACTCAGTGTTGCATCTAGAATTTCAAAATTATGGGGGATTGTCCCCCACTCAACTAAAAAATGTGGGGGATTTGAAAGAAAATGCGGGGGACATGCATTTACCTAACAATATGACATACGGAAAAGAATTCATTTATCTTAGGCATTTTTAACAGCTATTGTACGCTAAACAACGGCAATAAAAAAATAAAATATTGAAAAATACTACAATACACACGCGAGATGACCAAGTCGGCTGCTGCACACGATTAAGTACGTATTTTAGTCATAACCGCGAGTGAAAAGAAACATGGCTGAAGCGTTCAACCAGCTCGATCAAGATACAATGAAGATAAGAAAGATCGTCAGATGCGCGACTTGGCGCGCATTGACTTCATTAAAATGCGCGATCTGCAAATAGTATGCGCAAATCACGCGGCCTAGCAGGGTTCTCTGGGACGCTTATTTCGGCGTCCCGGTACGCATGTTTATTACAGCTGGACGCAAATATTTCAGAGCAAGGATTCCACGTACGCTTAATTTTGCCTGGGGACGCATAAACATTACAGATTATTTACAACCACAAATACACAAATGCGTCAGCGCGTGTCAGTGTATAGGTAGGCGGTCCTATGCACATCGACCCGTGAAGCAATTAGCCAATCAGCGATAACGCTTCCGATTATTATCACGCAATAGTGATCAGACTAATGTATACACGCACTGTACAGTACATGTAATTACCAGATATAACACGAGGTGATAATTTTATATCTTTGATCAACAGTTGATTGGAAATTAGCAAATTTTACCGACAAAAGGATAAAATTATTGACTATCTACGCCAAAAGTTCTCGAATTACAAATGAGTGTAATTTTGAATGATTGTCAAATATTTTTGGCATTTTCTAGGCACAATTTTGCTTTAGTTTCATTCTTGCAAAAACTTTCTATAAGAGTATCAAGAATTTAAGATATTGTGCCGAAATGCCAGGACAACAAACCAGTATACACATACGCTTTTCTTTAATATTAAGATTCTATCCGAAAATTGATCCCGAACATCGGCGATTTCACGTTCGCCAGAAACCCTAAAATTTTGCAAATACTCTCGGTTTCCAAGCCAAACATGCGAATGAATTGTTCCTTTATTATTTAATCAACATTAAATCTTTAAATATCGATCTTCAATTTGGCCCCTTTTGAAGATATTTGCTAAAATAATTGTCGATCGGATGAATCTCTTACACACTGTGTGAAGCTGTACACGATTTTCTTATTCATTCCGCTAAACGCTTCCTATATACATTTACCTTTTTTTTTACAAATATAAACTTTTTGTCTTTATAGTGGACTTACTTAACCAGAATAACATTTGATTTGGTATAAAAGTGAAAAAAAAAACAATTTCCATGTGTTGATGCATTATAATGAAATAGTTTCATAATATTAACAACAAAACAATAATTATACTATGTAGTTCAGAGTTTCTTTTGAATAACTATAAACTTTGGAAGTCTCTTGAAGATTTAAATTATCAGCAATGCTATTGTGAGCATTGAATGAGTAATCTGTACACATATTAATTGCGACATGCTTTTGGACTCCAACTTTTTTCAGGGTTGGGAGTCCATGGACTCCATGTTTTAAAGTCCTAGTGAAAACCCTGCCTAGATGCAACACTGCTAACTATATTACAGTAGTGTGGCAGGAGAACTTTGTAAATGAACTTATGTTCTTTAAATTTTTGCTAGATTTCGGCAAGACTTTTAACTGTTTTATAAATTTATTATGGAGGTTGATAAACATTGTGAAATAGTTATGTATTAATTGGTTCAAGAGTGGTTTCTAACAGTAAAATCAAAATCATTAAACACTTAGGTCTTTTGCAGTAGAGATAAATTTTTAGAAAAAATGTAATTTTTAGCAGGAGGGAATATAAATAGAAAGTGTTAAGACAAGCAATCTTCTGTCAAATATGTACAACCTCTGCAAAGAGGGCCCTCTGTAGAGTGTTTACCTCTTTACAACAACCTCTTTACAACAACTGCACCTTAGTGCAGTAACAGAGTAAGTTCCTCTATATTTAATGGGAGTTAATCAGTTATTGCACTAAGGTGACAGACTATCATATCTTCTGAAAGTTAAATTCACCTTGAATTTTACCTGTTTATAGTATCACCTTGTAGTAACAACCACAGTGTTTGGTTTCCTGTAGCTGTTGCACTGCAGAGGCATTAATTTCAGAAATAGGAGCATGTACAATGTAGATAAAGAGGACAGAAAATACCAAACAAAAGAAGAAATAATATCCCCGAAACACTTTGAATTATTTTTATATTAATTTATTAAATGTGATTTTTATGTTTTTTGAAATTCAGGAGTCATTAACTTACAGAGGGAGCAAATTTCATCGTGTGATTAAAGATTTTATGATCCAAGGTGGTGACTTTACAAGAGGGGATGGAACTGGAGGTAAGGAAATATTTACCTATTTTTACATCATTTAAATAAATAGTGCATAGCTCATAAGGTCTAGAGAACTCTGGACAGGAAGTTCGTTTTGGTTGATATACAAGTTTTTTTTAATGATAATTTGTCTCAAAGCTATCATTTCTACTTTTCCTGTTTCAAAATGATGGACAAGTTTGAAATAACTTGCAGAAAAAATTAATATGCATCGCCCAGTAAGTTCAATATGGATAGCATCAGATTTGTAACTATGTGACCCTGGTTGATCCCTAGACCTAGGGGCATGGCAAAATGTCTCCATGACAGTTTTTTCTCTGGATATTTGAGTCAAATGGTCATTTTCATCTTTGAGTCAGGTGGAATTAATAGTTGGAATAAATTGGTAATCCAGGAATGTCACTAAGCAGGGCTGCCGATTTTCCGCGGATTTCCTGAGCTCCTGGGTCATTTTTGAGATCAATGTAAATTTGACAAAGACAATAAATTCATTCGTCATATTTTATACAGTACCCAAAAACCGGCACGCTTCAGCTTTTATCGTTACGCTAGCCGCCTATGGTAGGTCTGTAAACACTTTTCTCATTGGTCAAATCGAGTCTTTTCCGGCATTCTATTTTAGAATAACCAATCAAATTACAGTTTACATTGTCGCTCTTGTCTGTTGTCAAAATGTCGGATATTTGTTTTGAGGGCTGATGAAAACCTGAAGTACAACTAAAGTGTCTCTGAATGGCTTTAAAGGCAACCAAGGAAGTCAAATTTAGAGTCCAGGAAATTGATTTTAGGGCATACCAAATCATCAGAATCCAGGACCTTCCGGGGGCTTCGCCCTTGACCCCCCATGTATTTTCCTCTGATTTTGCATTTTGCTGTTGGCAGCCCTGCACTTAGGTGGACAGACCACCATGATATGGCATATGATATAAAGAAATGTGTTAACCAGATAAGCAAACAAACACATGCAGAAAATTTTGTACTTGACTTACAGGGGATATTACTTGGTCTTTGCAGTCTTGTGTCAGTTAAATGTGTGTAGTAAACTTTGGATAAATTACAATAAATTTGTAACCATTTTATAAAAGATGTCATTACAATATATTAACAACTAGATGTATTAGTGTGAATAAAACCAACAAACTACTACCAACCTATGGTCAAAGACCTATAAGCAGAACTGCATGACTTGTGAACTTGTGTATTAAATTTTATAGGTAGAAGTATTTATGGTGAGAAATTTGCTGATGAGAACTTTAAACTGAAGCATTATGGCGCCGGATGGATGAGCATGGCTAATGCTGGAAAAGACACAAATGGATCACAGTTTTTTATCACAACAAAGAAAACAGAGTGGCTAGATGGCCGTCATGTTGTATTTGGAAAAATTCTTGAAGGAATGGTTAGTTCTCTTCATTTTTATATGCCTGAAAGAATTTCAGACATATTATGTTATACCCCCTGGCGTCCGTCTGTCTGTCTGTCCGTCCGTTAGCAATTTGGTTTCCGGAGCATAACTTAAGTTCCATTTGGCCCACAATATTCAAACTTCATAGGATGATTGTCCATATTGGGTAGAAGACCCCTATTGATTTTGGGGTCATAAGGTCAAAGGTCAAGGTCACTATGACCTTAAAACTGAAAACAGTTTCCGGAGCATAACTTAAGTTCCATTTGGCCTACAGTGTTCAAACTTCATAGGATGATTGTCCATATTGGATAAAAGATCCCTATTGATTTTGGGGTCACAAGGTCAAAGGTCATGGTCACTATTACTTAGAAATTGAAAACAGTTTCTTGAGCATAACTTAAGTTCCATTTAGCCCACAATATTCAAACTTCATTGGATGATTGTCCATATTGGGTAGATTTTGCAGACACAAGGTCAAGGTCAATATTACCTTAAAACTGAAAACAGTTTTCGGAATATAACTTAAGTATCATTTGGCCTACTGTGTTTAAACTTCATAGTATGATATGCTTCATCTTTACTAAAAAAAAATCACTCTCGGGCATATAATGCTCCGTCTAGCGGTGCTCTTGTTTTACATATGATTTTTGTATTTTAATCTCGGAACAAAAAAAAAATATCAGATTGTCAGATCAAATGTTTGAATATTTCCTTCATAAATATATATTATTCTAACACAACCCCGAATTTTTTCCTATTGAACAAAGAAGAACCAAAAGTGTGTGGTATTATGCAATAAAATCACTTTGGAGGTTCTATATTTAGACATCTGACATATAAATCATTATACACATGTGGCATAACCACTAAAAAATGTGACATGCTGAAATAATAACGGATCAAATCAGGTGCAATTTAGCTTCATATCAGGTATGGCAACATTTACTTATTAATGTCATGTTAGAATTGAAATAATATATCCAAATTGGTGATTTTATCACTTGATTAAATCACTGTCGTGCAGATGGGCATCATTATATCACTCAAGCTATGCTCTCGTAATGTAATTCCTCACATCCGAACTCCAAACAGTGATTTTAATGAGCGGTAAAGTAACAGTTTGGGATATATTATTTCTTAAATATACTATTACACACTTTAAGAGTCATAATGACTCATTGTTCCCTTGGCATAAATATACTTTTTAAAGTTTCTAAAATGAATAATTTTAATGAATAATTGACACTGTTTCAAACATACAGTTACAATCATTCCAGTGAAGTTTTTTTTACTTACAAAATAATTTGATAGCTTAATGGTAGGTTTAAGTTAATTTGAAAAAATGACAAATTATTATTTACCTTCTTGTCTCTATTAGTAAGTTGAATCCCAGTTATCTTTATATGTGAATGGGATACCCACAAATCTTTTAAAATCAAATAAGGGATAAGCATAATAAATGTACTCAAATGCACTAAAAATTGATTTTGTTTGATTGTTTTTGTTGGATTAAGAATCACACCGATACAGTTAAGGTCATATGATTTATTCATAGGTCTAATAATTATGTTACGGCGTTAAATATAACCAAACCAACCAATTGATAAAATTGAATTCATTTATAACCTTTTAAACATCTTCATTTTTCAATTTTCAGAGTGTAGTGCGAAAGATTGAAGGCACTTCAACCGGAGCTCAGGATAAACCGAAGAAAGATGTTGTTATTGCCGATTGCGGTGTTATAGAAGTCGAAGAACCATTTGCTGTGAAAAAGGCGCCTTCAGAAGAATAATTCATCGATCTTTATTTAATCTGTATCTTCTGTTAATACTTTATATTTATGTGCTATTACGTTAAAAATATTTTTCTCCAGGGGTCAGCTGCTAGTATTTTTTAAGAACTTTTTTTAGGAAGCATTTCTGTTGATTTTGATTATTGATAAAAAAGGGATTTTTACTGTTTGATTGTTCCTTAAACTAGTATTAAAATATTACTGGTATATTTATTTTCTAAAAAAAAAAAGATTTCTGTCTAATTATTTTTGTAGTATTCTGTGAAATATTATTATGAAATTGCACTGCCTCTTCATTTAAGAAGAACAACTATATATAGCTAGAGATATACAACAAAGTATTGTGTAATTTTCTTAACGATTTCTTATATACATTATATACAGGATTTTTTTATAGCAGTGATATTTTTTTTCGGATATAGGTTAGCATTTTTATTTCATAATGATATTAGAATGTAGCTCTATTGGCCATAGGTATTACCGCATTTCATAGTGCTTTTTTATACAGATTTATCATTTGCGTTCTTTTTTTTTATTTTATTTGAAGGTGTATAGTTATGTGCTGCTTAATTAAGATGAATTACTTATAAAATTATTTGCGATTTGTAAAACGCAACATTTTACATTTTATAAGATGAAGAAATCATATAGGTTTTGCTATAAAGATAATAAAGTTATTAGGTATAGGTATATTTTTGGAAGCTTCTTTTTCTTATTTACCTTTTTAGCTCGACTATTCGAAGAATATGAGAGCTATTGTAGTCGCCCCGGCGTCGGCGTCGGCGTCAGCGTCCGCGTCGGCGTCTGCGTTGGTTAAAGTTTTTTGTAAAGTCAAATATCTCAATTATTACTTGAGATATTCAATTGAAACTTACAATACTTATTTATAGTAACAAGGTACATCAGATTGACAAGTTTGATAACTCTGCCTACAATATTGACAGAATTATGCCCCTTTTTAACTTAGAAATTTTGGTTAAAGTTTTTTGTAAAGTCAAATATCTCAATTATTGCTTGAGATATTCAATTGAAACTTACAATACTTATTTATAGTAACAAGGTACATCAGATTGACAAGTTTGATAACTCTGCCTACAATATTGACAGAATTATGCCCCTTTTTAACTTAGAAATTTTGGTTAAAGTTTTTTGTAAAGTCAAATATCTCAATTATTGCTTGAGATATTCAATTGACACTTACAATACTTATTTATAGTAACAAGGTACATCAGATAGACAAGTTGGATAACTCTGCCTACAATATTGACAGAATTATGCCCCTTTTTAACTTAGAAATTTTGGTTAAAGTTTTTTGTAAAGTCAAATATCTCAATTATTGCTTGAGATATTCAATTTAAACTTACAATACTTATTTAAAGTAACAAGGTACATCAGATTGACAAGTGGGATAACTCTGCCTACAATATTGACAGAATTATGCTCCTTTGGAACTTTTTTGTTAAAGTTTTTTTGTAAAGTCAAATATCTCAATTATTGCTTGAGATATTCAATTGAAATTTAAAATACTTTTTTGTTGTAACAATGTACATCAGTGTGCAAAAATTGCATAACTCTGCCTACAATATTTGCAGAATTATTTGCCCCTTTGAAACTTAGTAATTTTGGTTAAAGGTTAAAGGTATTCAAAGATATTTACTTGAAACTTTACACATGCACTTAGGGTCATAATTGGAGGGTCATAATTGTATGTCACTGACCAAGTTCCATAACTCTATCTTGCATTAAGGCTGATTCATATCCCCTTTTCTACTTAGTCTCTTGGTTAATGTTTACATGCAAGTTTTACATATCTCAATAACTATTAAAGATATTTATTTAAAACTTCACATATGCATTTAGGGTTATAATTGTAGGTCACTGACAAAGATCCATAATTCTATCTTGCATTTAGGCTGATTTTTCTCCCCTTTTTCAACTTAGAAATTCATGGTAAAGTTTTGTTTGTAAGCTGTTATCTCAATAACTACTGAAGGGTTTGTCACTTTGTGCCTTTTTTGGGACAATTTTATGCATTCATAATAATAAAGCAGTGATTTCTTGATAAAACATCTTAATAACAAGCCTTTGTACCTTGTCTGTCAAATTTATTTTTCATAGGTAATTAGTATTATTATATTCAATATTGTTTAATCATATTTTATTGCTATATACATGTATATACAATACAGATACAAATTTCATATGTATTTTAAACAGCAAAAGCAAACGGGTTGGGCCCAAGTTCTTACAACATTAGCGGTCGGCCCTCCCCGGTTTATTGTCTACCCATGTTTCCAGAATATTTTTTTTTATAGTATCAGCTTTTATACTGAAATCTAAAACCTACATGAAATAATTCCGTTTGCTTTTGCTGTTTAAAATACATATGAAATTTGTATCTGTATTGTATATACATGTATATAGCAATAAAATATGATTAAACAATATTGAATATAATAATACTAATTACCTATGAAAAATAAATTTGACAGACAAGGTACAAAGGCTTGTTATTAAGATGTTTTATCAAGAAATCACTGCTTTATTATTATGAATGCATATAATTATCAATAAAACACCCTTGTGACATTACCTTCCGAATAGTCAAGCCAATACTGTATAATTAGACTCTCTCTAAGGCCTATAACATAAATTTATAAAAAAAAATTAGCCCTTTTGTGAACTTAAAAAATTTAACATTATCAAGGCTCTTTTACTATCAAGCACTTAGAATAGTCGAGCGTGCTGTCCTTCCGACAGCTCTTGTTAATGACTAAAATTTCTTTCTTTTATAACTTAACATTTGGTATTTGATGATTGTGTATTGTTAATGATTGAAATCGTGTAACTCATTGTGTGCTAGGATATTGTGTTTCTAAGATTGTTATTCACGTATATTGTTGGTCTGTTGAGCAAATGATAAAATTGTTATGTTGAACGTTTTTATGGGGACTAAAAACTTACAGAATGCATATACATGTGTTTGTCTCGAATAAGTGTTTATAAAAATAGTATCACATTGTAACAGCAGTAATAGTTTCAAAACTGTATAATTTTTGTATTGTAGACAGTTCAATCTTAACATTTTTAATCGAGAAAAGGGGTCAATGTTATGAAAAATATTTTTATTTTTTTCTAAATTATCTTTATTCGTTCTTGAAATGGGAATTCAGTTTTGTTAATAAAAACAACTAATACATTAAAATATGGAATTTACAGAATATATTGTACTCTTTTGATAGTGTTGAACTTTTAGTCAAAGCAGATTCCATGCTTTAGAAATAAAGGTGAAATAATTGTACAAGGAAACATAACAAACATTGTGCCTCAAGCCTGCATAATAAAACAGAAATTGTCAAAAATATTTCACCATGTACATCTCATTTGAATATGTAAATGTGTTCGGAATTATGATTGAACATTTATCTGGTGTTTAAAAACATTTTTACAGTATATAAGTAAATATACCAGTGGTAAGCCGGTTGTAAGGAATATATCAAGGACATTTCCGGTACAAGCCGGTTTAAAGAAGATGCAGATGAATCGGGGCTCATCAACATTTTGTGATGACCATCTCTCTATGCACTGTATGTATGCGTGTATGTATTTAAAGCATCATATACTCACACAATTTCGGAAATAAACATTTATTTTGTCTATGTCTGAAGTGTTGTTTGTGTTCTTCTATAATGATATTTTCAGTCGATTTTAGGAAGATATTCTCAGTCATTTTGAATAATGAAAAAAACTCTGCAAATGTGAATTTTTCTATCTAAGCATGGTACATGGGCTACAAAATCAATAGTCCAAATTGCCAAGGTTGTCCCACAGCCAGACAAATGGAAAATTTCAAGAATTTACTATATAAATATCATCAGACAAGTTAAGAAATGATGTAAATAAAAATGGACAAGTGCAGTCAGTTTTTGCCGGCCCTGGTACAAACAAACTTGATCATGAAAGCTTCATGGTGCACTACTGTTCACAATAATTATCAATGCATACTAACTGTTATTGATATATTTACCAATTTGTAACTGTAAACTTTATACCAAGATGGGAAAAACTAAAATTTTCTGAGTTCCGGGTGTATTTCTTCTATTCTTGCATATCAGAAAAGTGGTTTGCTCTAGAGACGATGCCCACAACATCCATCCATTTTATCATCATTATTTGAAGCTGTAACACTTACCAAAATTTTCATTAAATACTTCCAATAACCAATTACAAGAATAACAGGACATTCATTGACCTTTTAATACAATACATATTTCAAACTTCAATGTTTGTACTAACTTGCAGGCACTCATGTCATACTTGGTCATAGGAAACTACCCGCCTATATGACTGAAATACTGTTGGGGGGGGGGCGTAAAATGAAACAAACAAATGAACGAAACGCTTGAAACAAGAGCCACTGCCAAATTCTACTTTTTCTTACTTCTCAAGTCAAACACTGGAAGAATGTAGAAACGAATACTCAAAGATCAAAATATAATTCAAATTTCATATTTTACCGTGATGATCAAGGTTATTCAAAGGTCAAGGTCACAATTGAATGAATCAGGTTTTGTCATGTGTCTATTTATTTAAAAAAATAAGTTATGAAAATTAAAGCAAAATTCAATAATTTAACCTGGGTAAAGGTCATACTAAACTAATTTTATTTAACATGATGGTCATGACAATTTAAGCAAATTTCAATAGTTTGACCTTAATGGTCGAGGTAAACTAAAGTTCAAGGTCATATTTTTTATTATCCAATCAATTTAATAGTTTTGTAGTAAGAGTTCTTTTGTCCAAATATTAATCAATCTTTAGTGTTCAAAGTGTTGTTTGTCCAAGTATGAAGACAATCCATTGCGAAATAAAAAAATTCTGACCAATGTTAAAGTTTTCAGACGCCAATGACAGCATGACTGTAGCAATAGCTCTCTTCTTTTTTTTTTTTTGGAAAAAGCCGAGCTAAAAATGAAAGCAACAACAAAATTAGATACTAGAAAAATATACTTTATATTTAACTGTTGATAAAGTAACAGAAATACAAATGTATATATAAAACTACTTGTATAAAAATAAAATTCATCCGGATCTAAAAAATACAATATCAAAAAAATAGTACATAATAAATAATTATACATGTATGAGCATTGACGCATAAGTAATGTCACTGGGGTTGTAAAATCAATAATTCTGCAATACAAAACAAATTCATAATTATACCTGAATGTATTTGCAGTAGTTGCTGAAATTTACAAAAATGAAAATGGGTATAAAAATTTGAGCCTTTGCATTAAAGGACTCGACTGATGTTTTTTGACATGATGGAAATAATTTTTCAAGATTTATGTTCTATTTGATGTAATTCTAGACCGATAACTTGTGTGCAAAGTTTCAGATCATTCTCTTATTTTCTTTTTCCAGAATGATTATTCTAATTGTGAAAAATTATCCTAAAATTAAACGCTTTACACTCGAATCCAGCTAAACTATCACAAAAATACAATTTTTATTCAGAGTGTTTCTTAAATAACTTTTGCATAGCGTTCTGTTAAAGTGCCCATATTGACCTATGCAAGACATTCAAATTATATATTTTTAGGCATTTGGATGTCAATGGAGTTCCTTTAACATAATAAGCTTGCTGACTGATAAACCCAACTTTTGTTTTACAGCTATACTAATAATACACTGCTCATCATGATTCCCAGCTGCCGGGAAAATTGCTGGCAACTTGACAAACATTTTTACTAAACCATGATAAATTTAAATGCTTTATAGCTCCATGCCTCCAGATTAGCTAAAATATTGTAAGAAAATAAAACTTGAGTAAAAAGTACTGAGATTTTAAGAAAAGTAAAAAGATTCAAGATAAAAGTACTAATTATTCTATTTTATAAGCGATTTATGACCAATTTGGTCCATATTTCTACTGTGTTACTAACGCAGTAAGGGCTATTTTTGCATATTTTGACCTCTTTTTAATAATTTATATGGGTTGTTTATGCTGTTTGCAATGAAAAAATTTTTTTCTTTGTTCACTTCACAATATTTTACTTTTTTAATACATTTTCAAAATTTTAATGAAAATAAACACAAATCTGGAGGCGTGCTGCTTTATCATTACTCATAAGTGGGTTTACCACTGTAAATACCAATTGCTACCGGCTACTTGGAGCACACTGACACTATGCTTACAGATAATTCTCCTGATGAACATTATTTAGTTATCTGAATACAACTCCCCAGACAAAATTTTAAACCAGTTTGCACTAGGGACACCAACAAGAGCTGTCACAGGAGACAGCCAAGCTCGACTAATAAAATACTGGACGCAGTAAGGACAAAACTATGAAATAAAAACCAATTATGTATAATTATGTATTAAGTTATAGTAACAAAATATCATTTGTTAACATAAATTCCAAGATCAAGGGGAATAATTCTAGAAAAAGTCATGCTAGAGTTATGAACCTTTCACACAACATGTGTGTAATGATAAGAAATATATATTTGAAGTTTGAAGACGATACCTTAAAAAGTAAAGAAGTTATAATATTTCTTAAAGAAAATCCTAAGTTCAAAGAAAGATAAATCTGTAAATATTGCTTCAAGAGTTTCGAACATTGTCACATAAAATGTAATTGATGATAAGGAATAAGTATTTGAAGTTTAAGGTAGATACCTTTAAAACTAAAAAAGTTAAAGTAAAAAATAACATTTTTCTAGTAGAAAAATCTAAGTTTATGGGGAGATAATTCTTGCAATATTAGTGCTAGAGTTATGAACCTTGCCACATAAGATGTGGATGATGATAAGTTACATATATTTGAAGTATGAAGTTGATCCCTTTAGAAATAAATAAGTAACAGTAAAAAAAAGTATTTTTTAAGGAAAATTCTAAGTTCAAGGGGAGATAAATCTGAAAATATTGGTGCTAGAGTTATGAACCTTGTCACATAAGATGGGGATGATGATAAGGTACATATATTTGAAGTATGAGGTTGATCCCTTAAGAAATAAAGAAGTAACAGTAAAAAATAGTATTTTTTGAGGAAAATTCTAAGTTCAAGGGGAGATAAATCTGAAAATATTTGTGCTAGAGTTATGAACCTTGTCACATAAGATGGGGATGATGATAAGGTACATATATTTGAAGTATGAGGTTGATCCCTTAAGAAATAAAGAAGTAACAGTAAAAAATAGTATTTTTTGAGGAAAATTCTAAGTTCAAGGGGAGATAAATCTGAAAATATTTGTGCTAGAGTTATGAACCTTGTCACATAAGATGTGGTTGATGATAAGGAACATATATTTGAAGTTTGAAGTTGATACTTTAGGGAAATGACAAAGTTATAGTGAAAATTATTTTACTGCACCAAAACTTTAATCTGAAATCTGGACGCCGACGCCGGGGCGAGTAGGACAGCTCTCCATATACTTCGTATAGTCGAGCTAAAAATGGAAGTTAAATTAACAAATTTTAAAAATAAAATCCTATATACTGTAACCTATTTGAGGTATGTGTATATCAAATGATTTCATTTTACCTGAAACTGTTATTCTGGTTGTCAATTAATAAAAATTTAAGATTTAAATTCATTTTATATGAATCCATTGCAAGATACTTACCTGACAAGACTTACTTCATACTAAACAAAAACCGTAATAAATGCTATGTAATACATAAAAGAGTTTTATATTTTGATTATACTACTTCAATTTCTTTTGAGATCTTGTTACACGCCTTGTAGGTGTTTCATCTTCATTCTTCTCCGGTGTTCTCTGGATGTATATTATCTCCCTTTGAATACTCTCTACTTTCTGGAAAGTTCTTCCCTCCCCTTGAAAACTCTTCAATTTTGGAGATACACATGGTGATACACAGTCATTGAAGAAATCTCTAATCTCAGATTTATGGCAGTACCAGGCAAAAAGATGTGGAACAATCACTAAGCTAAGATTTACAGTCCAAAATATACAACGAGCTTCGACAGTGTCCGGTACCTGGAACTCGGGCTTGGTTCTCCATTTTAGAGACGACCATATGTAGACAAACTGTGCCTGCATAGAAGCGCCAGCGTGTATAAGGGACCAGTCCTTTACCCAGAGTTCACCAGGGTAGATCAGCGAGCAAAAGAAGGCCACATACACTGGAGTGAAGTAGTAGAAATAGCATAAAGCCTGAAAAGAAAATGACAAATTTATAATGCTAAAATTCTATCTTAACATGATAAATCTGAATGTCTATAAAGATATTTTAGCTTTTTTAAAGTAATTTTCCATCAGTAATTTTAGGGGACAGATGTGAACTTGGTCAGCCAACAATATAGAGCCTATTCATACAGCATAGATGCGAAGATTGGTCTGGCACTATACTGGTGGCAAATGCTTCGAGCAAGGTCAGATTTATAAGAAAAAGAGCTGGTTGAATCGGGTGATGCTCCCTGAATAGGTTTTGGACACAGAAAAGTATACTTCTTGAAGTGTCAGAGTTATGTCCCCCACAAAGCTAAAGTGTAAAAATGAACATAGGGCAATAACTCCCAAAACTAGCACTGAACTTTAACACAATGAGATCTATCTACCTACAATGTTTCATGTTGATAGTCATGTCCTGGACAAGAAGAGCGGACGAACATGCTCAAAGTTTGGTACTTATGTGGCTACTCTTTTGTTCTATTGTTTTTATAGCCACGTAAGAGAAAAAGTAGCCACATAAGAGCTGACTGAATGAATAACATCAAAGAAAATTTACTGTTACCTATTGATCCCATAGCCACCTAAGTATCTATATGTTTGTACGGACAGACAGACAGACAGACAAAGCGGCAACTATATGCTCACCCTTCGGGGAGCATAAAAATTATGCATATTCTTGCATGACAGGCAAACATGGCCATCTGCCACAAAGTTGTACTAAAAGCAAGAACCAAGAGGTTAGATTGACATAAGGCACAACTATCCTCAGTGCTTGACAATAAAATAAGAGATACAGTATGTAGGAAACGGAAACAGAATAATAATTCAAGAAAATGACATGTTATGGCTATTGGGTCTTGGTTATTGGCCTAAAATTAAAACATTTTTGGGATCATTGGAGTAGATAGCTGCATGTAAAAACTTAAGGTCTTAAATCTAGTGTTACAGTAAGCCCATACTGAAAAAAATTCAGAAGGAATGTGTCACAAAACGGACCTTATTTCCCATATATATAGAGTAACTATGTGTAAAGGGAGGCATTTCGAATGCCAAAACATATTTATTCCCAACCGAGAAGGATAAAATTCCCAATTCTCATTTCTCCACATTTATGTTGTGCTTGATTTAAAAAAAAAAAAAACTATTTATGGTCAAAAGGGGATACCTTTAAATCATTTATACAAGAAAATATTTATAGAGATTATTCATATGTGATCGGTAGTTCCTTTTTATTTTAGTTTCGTTTTAATTCCCAATTTTGACTATTTAAGATGCTCTTTTCCTGAATTCATTTGGCATTTATAGCAATCCAAAAATGTTAAAAAATATGCCATGGGTGTAGTTAGACAGATTTATTAACATGTCTTACCTGTGTACGACCATACTGTGTTGGGTCGTTGAGGTATGGCTCTATTTCTTTTAAATAATACTGAGTTATCTTTTCCTTGCAACCCATGCAGCACTGAAAATGAAAATGTAATTGATTGATTGATTTTCTTAAGACCGGGCAGTCAAGGATAACCTATGAAAGTGCGAGCACTTATTTCCAGTAGGGTCCTCACCTCAACAGACACTAGAGACCGCTATGAGATACAAGGGAGTCAGGGAACCAATCCCTTGCTCTTATTGAATAGACCCCTTGGTTCTTTTACAGCCCAGTGTACAGCACTGACACATGCGAGGATTACCTGGGTTTCTAACTAGTAAGCCTTTAGGTAGGTGGGAAACACTGAAAGTGTTTCTGAAAAATCCCAAGGGTGTTACCCAGGATTGAACCTGGAACCTCAGGAGTGACAGTCAGTGGTTGAACCAACTGAGCTATAGCACCTCCTTGTATAGATGCTTTTCCCATAGCATGTGCATGTATAATATCTGCCGTGACAGCCATTTTCATGGTCATTGGTCATTCCAAATTATCTTGATGCCTAAAGCTGCAAGCCTCCAGATGAGCAAAAAAAAATTTCAAGGAAAATCAACTTTGAGAAAAATGTACATAGATTCTAAGAAAAGTAAAAATAATTCACAATTTAAGTAATGATTTACATGCTATTTCATATAGCGTAACTAACATAGTAAGGCAATTTTGCATATTTTGACCTTTATTAGGTTATTTACATGGATTGAAAGTGCAGCTTGCAATGTGTAAATTACTTTCTTTGTTCACTAGACAATATTTTACTTTTTAATATATATTTTAAAATTTTCGTGAAAATTAGCAAAAGGCTATACGCTAGTAGTAAATAAATAACATGGAATAAAAATAATCTGAAATGGCACCCCGGTTCCCTTTTACTTACTATGAATCTAAATGAAGCCATAACAATTGCTGCCAGGAACCACACAGCAAACAACCTCTCTGCAACTTTCTCCCACGTTTTCTTCTCTGTGGGATACTGTAAATAATCACACACTATTTCATAGCTTAAAACGACAACAAATACATAGTCAGAAAAAGGCAGAAAAACTGCAAAATCACCATTTGATGATTCATTTTTTAATTACACTTAGTGTTTACTAAGAAACACTTAAAAGGTTTTAGGACACTGAATAGTAAGTAACTTCATACAATAATTTATGGTTCCTATCTTAAGTAAGTCCAACTGTAATGCTTTCCCGCCAAGAAATTCTTACATCGGCCAATATCATAGCAAATCGGTTATTTCCAGAATCTTGGGTATCAGAATATTTACAATCACTCATTATTTGTGAGTATGTACTACATTTAGGTTATAAGTGGTTTAGATTTATTGAATACCGAAAATTATACCTACAAGCTGTGTAGTTTAAAGGGATTCTGCTGAAAACATTTTACACCTTTTTTTTTTTTACATTTTTTTGAAGGTAGGGTCATGTGGATAAAGTCAACTTGAACAGTAATTCTGTGAATTTCAAAATTCACAGGTGGAGAGGGGCCTTGTGTATAATTTCAATTGCCAACAGGCACTTTACATGTGAAAAAGACTCTGTGAGCAGATTCTATCTCCATAATAACACCAGGATGTCATATTCAGTAATATTTCACCTTATTATATAACAGAGGCCTATAAAAGGTGTCATCGCGAGTGAAATTTTCTTTAAAATTATGCAGTTTTTCGAAAAATCTGAACTTACACCAGCTTTTTTTTTATTTTCCCAAATTAGCAATTTCAACGAATAACTCTTCTCATAATCAAGAGGCTAAAGCCTCTTCCCAATTAAGTGAGAAAAACAACTGATACTCACAATCCTCCATCTATTTTTCATTCCCATTCGAAGACATCTTACACCAGCATATATTGGGTAAAAAACATACGGGACATTTAGAAAATAAGACCATTTCAAACCCTTGTTACCTGAAATAGAGAGATTTATATGATATCAATTAAAATTATAGTGTATTTTTACCTTTTTAACACTGGGTTTTACATCACACCGACACAGTATACGTCACATTCCAGCTTTACAGGTGAAGGAAGACCTCGGGTGCACTTCCATGCAATATTTCAGACACAAACAGGCACCTGAGTAGAACCACCGACATGCTCAACTATTCTCAGTGCTTGATAGTTAAACTACAGCCCAGAAATGTTCAAACAAAACAGGGGCCATAATTCTGTCAAAATCCATGTCAAGAGTAATGGGCATTAGACAGTGGCTCCCTATTATGTTCTAAAATAACTGTGTGAAGTTTAAACCCACTTCCTTCAGTAGTTTTGGAGATACCAACTTGCATAAAAAAACTTAACCAAAGTGTGATGTTGATGCTAAAACTAACACCTGGGTGAGTACAATAGCTCTCCCTAATCTTCAAATAGTCAAGCTAAAAAATCTTTAAACTTGCAGAATAACTTATTTCCACAGATAATAAGTCTGATGTTAAACAAGCAGATTAAACTCTGTATTTACTCACCAATGACATTTCCAGGCATGAATACTATCATACTGTGTGTTATGGATCCAACCCAATACAAACAAAGAAGTCGGTAATCTCTCCTACAAGGATAAGTAAAATATGTTGTGATAATAACATATAGCTTTTGTATACATGTAATATATTCCATAGACATCATTGAAATATGTAGTGTGTTAGTTTTCACTACGGATCACGGCACTAAGCCACATTGAATTTACCAGAGCACAGTTCAGCCACTGCATAGTTTCTGCTGGGCAGGCTGTCAAGCACTTTACAAGTACTAGTTGCCAGAGCACAGGATTTCCTAATCATTCACAATGAAAGTGACCTGTACATCCATGAATCAAAACCAGATTGCCTTTACTTATTGAGCTAACCAGAATGCGCCTATGAAATATGTATTGAAAATAACATAGAAACTGTTAAAATCGGTAGTAAAAATAACATATATGTAATGTATTTATAAGCTCCAAGATATATCATTTAATTGCAGGGTTTTTTTTTTGCTATATAACTGTAGCCGTTTAACGGCTACTTCCCCAGCTGAAAAAAAATTCCCCTTGAGCTAAAAAATTCCCCTTGGTCTGAAATAAAATCAACTATTATGGCTTGCTTGTTTAAAAAATCACATTTTTGTTCAAAAAGTTCAAACTTTTATAGCCCTACAGTGTTTGATATTACCGATTGAAAAGTAAAAAGTCCAATGGCAATGCCGACGATCGGCAACCCTCTCCATTACGCTGATCATATCCCTAAAAATTCTGTCCTTGTGAAAATTCTCCTCAAAATATGCAGACATTTGTAAAAATATGTTATATTATTTATTCTTACAGATTTCAATCATAGTCTGAAGGAACATGGAGTTATATTAATACCAAAAATCGGCAAAATATTCTATTATCACATATTTTCGCGACCTACTTCCTGTTTGATTTTCGGCTTGAATTTGGAGAGGAATGTGTTAGTTTAAGTAAATAAATTACAAAACATAAAACAGTCAATTGATTTTTGTGCATCATGTGTCAAAATGTCCTTTGGGAATCATCATCTAATTAATTTAGCACTTAATGCAGTTTTTACATAGAAAAATCAAAGCAACCATTCTGAAATAAATAGGGGAGGTGTGTGAGGAGGTTACAACAATGTTGAAGCTTGGCAACATCACAAATGATATTGACTAAAGTGATTCCAACTAAAAAAAAGTGTTTTTGTATGTTTAAGGAATTCAAGGCCAAAGATCTGAACTTTTTTCATTGTTTATGACTCACCTGACTTTTAGGGCATGTGTTTATTGTTAATTTTAAAGTTATTAACTCATTTTTTAATGTAATAGATTTTCCCCAAAATGTCATTTTATCGCGCATTTTTTCCCCAACTGAAAGGCCAGGCCGTTTCCCCAAAATTGAAAAAAAAGCCCTGAATTGTATCATAGTTTGGGGACCTATCTGTTGAAAATGTGTCAGAGTTAAATTGTATACATATACATGCACAGTGAGTTAACTGGAGTGCAGGTATTAGTTACCTGAACTCCAGAGCATGCTCATAAATTGGCTTTTTTTTTACTGGAGTTTACTTATTGTGACGGCAGAGAAAGGGAAAGCGACAGAACTATCATATTCAAGTGCTCGTTCATTGGTTACTTTTTTCTAGGGTTTTATTATAATGACAACAGGGAACAAGTTTTTATGTTTGACTATGATACAAAAGAGAAAGAACATCAAAACACTTGGCAATCTGATTGATACTCGGGGGCTATGCCCCCTTGTACAAATCAGATAGCCTCGTGTTTTGATGCTCTTTCTATTACATGTATAATCAATAATAAATTTCCATACTTACCCACTCACTAGCAGGTATATCAGTCCGAGATACATTGAAAAATGTCCGGTTCCATCCCACCAGTTGATAGAAGTACCGTAAGAACTGCGTAGATATGGCTCACCTTCCCTAAGATAAAATTCCATAAATCCTTTCACAAACCCATCAAGTTCAAGCCCAATAAATAGATCAACAACAGCAGTAAACGAAAAAATACACCACACTGAAAATAGAGTGATAAAATATTGTACAAATACACATAAAAACTAATTATAAAATAAGTAAAAAAAACATTATTTATTAAAAGAATTTCAAACAAATTTACATTACAAATGTATATAAAACTGTCACAAAAAACATAATTTAATTTGTTCAAGGGACGTTGGTGGCCAAGAGGTAAAGGTTGCTAACTTCAAACATCTTGCCCCTCATTGCTGTGGGTTGAATCCTGCTAAGGACTTTGAATTATTAAATGTGAGGAAGCTATCCTGCTAGCTTACAAATGACACTGATTCTAGATCTACTCAGGCATCAGCTTGTGCTTGAAATACAAATTAATGCATGGAGGGGCATTAGATGTCTTCCTTCATCAGTAAAGTTGTGTCACAGTTCAGGTCTGTTCACTATGTAAGGGGAGAAGATGTATAAGCGGCTCAGCTGGATAGCTCAGTCTGTAGAGCTGTGGAATGGTATTCTGAGGGTCCGGGTTCGAGTCCTGGTCTGGCTGCACATTTTTCTCACCCTGTGACATTTGGCACCCAACAGGGCACCGTGACTGGATATAGCTCAGAGTTTAATTAGCATTGCTCTGTAACCCCGAGTAATTCAGGGACGAATCTCAATATAGCAGGGGAGTCAGTATGTCATGGTTCAGAACTCTTCACTATTTAGGGGTCCCCCAGGTTCAAGTCCCAGTCAGGCTCCACATTTTTCTCACCCTATCATGTCAGTTTTAACGTCCAAGAGGTGAAGCATTCCTGAAATTTCACACAATCCCCTGGCCCCTAAATGAGGTTGGATATACCCGTGTAACACAAAAGCCTGTAAAGTACCTGCTGCATACAAAACATCTATACTATAGTGTAGGCTATGCAAGGTCTGGTAGAGATATTTCAACGGAAAAGAGTCAACTCGGCCCTATACCAACTCGGCACGGGTCAACTCGGTACGGGTCAACTCGGCCCACTTTACAAAATATATATAACGTATTTACTTTGCTTTGCGTGTTGTTAAGGTAAATGAATAATAAGAATATCATATTATTATATAATTATACATTGTACTTCTGCCGAAATAAAGTATATTTAGAAAACAAAGTTATTTATTTGTCTTGCAGATTCAGGGCTTTTTTTCCTTCTGTAACAGGGGCCGATATAAGGCCCCTTCACAATTCAAAATTGCACTTTTTTTCACAAGAGTGGCAGAAAAAATTCACAATTTCAAAAGAAATTTCACAAAATATTGGGAATTTTTCTTTGAAATACATTGTTAAAAAAAACTTGTTTACTTTATATCATGAGCTTCTAATTGATTGCAGGTGGTCACTAATCAATTTTGAATTCATGAATGTCAATGAGTTAATCATAATTATCACCTAATTAATCGATATCCTTAACATACATATTGATTGATAATAACAGCCCATGACAATAGGAGTCCTTTAATGTCTTTTACCGATTTTTAAGAGTGGGCCGAGTTGACCCGTGCCGAGTTGGAATAGGGCCGAGCTGACTCGGGGGCCGAGTACGTTTTAATTAGGGCCGAGCTGACCCGGATTCTATTTCAACATCATTGCAAAAAAAATTATTCTTTAACAAATTAGCCAGGGATCTATTTCAAACTATTTACCATAATAAAGAGTTTCGTTTTTTCCCTCATGTTGTTGGACGAAAAGTGTGCTCAGTAGTCCAAACAATGGAAGAACAATAACTCCTGCCAAAAATACCCACTTCGAGCTTTCCATTAACACCAGTTTATCCAGAGTGTAAATTAGCGGTGCTGCCAAAAAAGAAGCAATAAAAACAAAAAACACAATTGTTGAAGGTTTATACATGATTGTTTACTTTTTATTAGCGTAAACAATTTAAGAAAATAAATAAATAAAAAGATAGCGTCAGTGGAAACCGACTGTGCAAGTTATAGGCATGCTTGGTTAAAAAGTATGCAGTTCGCGTAGAATAAAGTTCGCGTAGAATAAATTCTGAAATTGAAAATTATGCTGTTCGCGTAGAATAAATTCTGAAATAGATTGATCTCTGAAATAAATAATGCTTTTTGGAACTTACAATATTGATAAATCTTAATTTGAGCATCATATTTGTTTCTATAAAATCATAAAAAATGTGTTACAGGATCTTTAATTGATTTCTCACAGTGATGATCTGTAGCAAAGTTTAAAACTTTTGGTTATTTTTTTCATATGCAAGATATATAAATACGTTTGTTTTGGTATTTTATTACTTTTCAAATACGTTTAATATTAAATATTTGAAGAAGCACTCTACCGAGTAGATCTACATAGCTGTTGCTAGCTGTGAAATGTGCAGATGCAGTTTTTATGAACAAAGAACTATTAGTCTGTATTTTTTATGTCTTTATCGTAAATGTACCAACATTTCGTCAGCATGATAGCTTACATATCTGTATGTAAAGTAAACAAGAGGGCCATGATGTCACTGAATCGCTCAGGAAAAGTCATAGTTTTTATATTTTACAATGTTAAAGTCAGCAAAGTGGACACACTACCCAAGCTGCATAATTTAAAAAATATTCATTGAAGATTTTAAAGACATTTTCACCATACAAGTCTATGTAAACTAAGTGACCCCAGTGTATGACCATTTTTGACCCAATGGCATGACTTGTATCACTTTTTACAGAATGATGTTTTAGGTGTCGTTGTGTTGGCAGGCCTACTTTTCACTCCGGATTATGACAGTAAGCAACATTGAATTTACTACTAGAGCACAATTATACATGAACATCAATATACATGTGAAAGTTGTCCGATAAAATAGCCTGATTCATGAGAAAATCGTGTCCAGTGAGTGACACGGACTGCTCGAGCAAAACGTGTATAGACGCACGCTTTTCACGAGAAAATTATGTGCACGGAGTGCACGAAAAAATCGTGTGAAATGAAATGTAAATTGATTTGACGAAAAAAAAAACGTGCCGGTAATAATTTGTTTGATATATCGGTCAGAGTACATGTATATTTTTGACAGTGCAACGTTGGACATTTATCCAGTAATTCGCAATTTTATCTTTCGAGTCATATTTCATGCAGTTTATATTATTCAAATATGATATATATTTGTATATGTGGTATATAAATGTATAGTACTTCGCTCTATAAACCTTATGACAATTTAAACTAGAATGTAATTATTCCCATATGCCTCACGTGTGCATGACGATGCTATGTGGATCTTTCATTGTTATTTTCGAATGTTTTGTTGATTTTCATGTTCTGCTTTTTTCGTTTAAAAATTGTTTCAACTAATAAATATTTAAATTATATACTTATTTATAAATGAAATATTGATGAAATAAAAGGCGTATTTTAACTGACCGTATTTTCCCTGTAAAAAATATATTTTTCACTGCAGTGATTATATTTTCCGTATTTTTACTGGTTTCTTGACAGACTACTTAATTAAAGAGGAAGTATTTCGAATCGGCAGGTCAAAAAAAGAGAGAAAAAAGTATATTATAAACAGAAAATTCAAGGTTTTTTTTCACCCAAAAATAAATAATATTTGTAAAAAAAACTTGAATATCCTCTGTATCTCAATTTCCATATAGAGGATATTGATAAATATAGTATTTTTGAAGAAAAAAACAATAACAACAACATCTTCATATTTTTCACGATGATTTTCATGATGCACATCCATAAATTTTGTTTTTATTTTTAGAAAATGATAAAATATGTTATGAAACTGGTTGAATTATTCTTGTCTGTGATATAAAATTATGCGAATAGATGATGTACTCGTTTTCAAACCATAGCAAGGGAGGTAACTATATATCACTTCGCCCGCTGTTATAGTGATGCATTACTTCCCTTAGCCTATGCGTCAATCATAGTAATAATATGTTGCAAAGGAAACCGTGCACTTCGTTAAATACAAACACGAGCAAAATAGTAGAAAATATGGAATCAAAATTTGCAAAAATTGATCATGCAATGGTTTAGTTTCTTTTGAAATTTGATAAATTATTATTTAAGAAATTTATGGAAATTTGGTTTGGAAGGGTTTGGAAGGGTGAAGAGTAAACATTAGAGAATTGTGATTTTCTAACGCTATTTTGTCTTGTTATATGAAATCTAACCAGTATCTTGTGCGTGTAATGTACAGAACAAAACATACATGTATATGGGTTCTGACGTAACGCCATATGGACATATGGTCATAAGTTTGAAGGATTTTCCATTCAAAATTTTAAGTATCCAAAGGCAAAAACGCATTTTACAAAGGCTCAATACTGCAACTTTAGTTAGTTGTGGTTCCACGTATCAAAAGTACTGACAATAATCAAATTTCCATTAATATAAACCATCCTGTATTAAATACAGCTCTGCAAATTTTGATAACAAATGTGCTAATATTTTGCTTGAATATATACAAGATGTCCCTGAATCCAAGAGCACACTTTCTTTTGTAACATAGTACATTACAATATGCCATCATTTTCATGCAAATTTTCATGATTTTTTTAAAAATGTATTAAATAGTAAAATATTGTCTAGTGAACAAAGAAAGTGATTTACACATTGTAAACGGCACTTAAAACCTACTAAAATTACCCTTTAAAGGGTTAGAATAAGCAAAACCAAAAATAGCCCTTACTGTGTTAGTCACGCAGTAAAATAATTCTGGTGATAAAAACTGCAAGTCCAGTCATTAATTGCATATAACATGTAAATTATTCATTGAATTTTGAATATTTTTTACCTTTCTTAAAATTTAAATACATTTTTCTCAAGGTAGATTTTCTTGAAATATTATGGCTTATCTTGAGGCATGTATCTTTAAATTTCTACTTGCTAAAAATTAGCAAAAGAGTATGAACATGTCCATCCGTACAGGTGAACATTTGGAAATAGACCCCACGAGTGAAATTTTGAAAGATAAAATGATAAATGCCGTTCATACGCCTTTATGTGTCACAAGCAAACAGATTTATTGTAATACACAATTGAGAACAATGCGAACATGACATACTTTGACAAATCGTATATTTAATATATTTACTTAACAGACTAGCAAAGGTATCTATAAAGGCTCTAATTAGATGAGATATTATTAAACAAACAAATATCCCCCGGATAGCCAGTATCAGTCGGCGAATCGATAGATAAACAAATATTTCTCAAATAAAAGCAAATTTACTCTGTGCTTTATGGTTTTTATAATCCAATGTATCAAGCTAATTTAGACTAGAGCATATTTACTTGACAAGTATTTTCAGGAAAACTCCCCGATTTACGGGGGGGGGGACAAAAATATGGGCCAGGTATGATCATGTTAAGAGTTGATGTAAGGCGCACTAAATAACGGTCTGGTATTAGTGTAAACATATTTATTTAAGCTCGATTGCATTCTTTTTTCTTACAACTTGTACATAAATTGATTTCTAGACTGTCTCATAAACATAGCAGTTTCTAGTCTGGTTTCCTGATAACGTATTAGCAGGGGCGGGTAATCCAAACTAAGCAGTCCAGCCTCGTAGGGATCGAACTCGCGCTTCCTGGGTAGTGAGATACACACATTTCTTTCTGTCAATTGCTGATTTTAAGATTTCCTTACTTATAAATTCAATATTTAAGGACAAGATAATGTTAAGATGTATATTGATTACGGACCCATGCAGGAATTAAGGTACCATTTAATTTTGATGATATATTCAACTCTTAAACTGATGGAACTGAAAGTGGTAAACCTTTGCCACCAGTGTAGAGCCAGCCCGGCCTGCACATCCCTGCCGTCTACCCAAGCTCTGAAGTGTTAGTGGCTCATTTGTTAAAATTTTGACCATAAAACCCTTTAAATTTCTAATGGACTGTTCGTGATTCTAATCAGGGAAAATCCATTACACAAA